TCTATGTATGTCTTTGCTCTTGGATCCTCTTTTACTCTCTCAGACAGTTTACTCCTTTTGCCTTCACCATTTACTCCTTTTGCCTTCACCATTACCGATCTGGGCAACTGTATTTTTAGTCCTTACCATATTGCGTATTGTTCAGAGACAATCATAATTTAGATGTCTCCTTTCACTCAAACATAAGTCTGAGGAGTGAGCAATCCTTTCCTTTCAAATTGCTGAAATTACACCTGCCCCTTCCAGGTGGAGAAGCAGTGTCACCAGTCCAGTGCTTTCCGAGCCTTCTATTGTTGTGTGTTTGTTTCCCAGTCAGGCTGTCTTTTGCCTCTTCGGTCCCTCTTGTGGAGCTTTGGAATTGGCCTCCCTCCTCCCTTCTTAGATGCTGTTTTGCAGTACTAGAGCCAGCAACCATCATCGGTCCCTGCAAAGTGGAGTTGTCACCTCAGTGTCCTCCAACTCCCAATTTTTTGAAACATCACATGTGCTTTTTAATTTTTCTAATAGGGGAAAGTTTTTATATTTTATTTTAAGTGGGAGAAATTACAGAGTTTCAAAAAGTGAAATCCCTGGTGTTTTTTGGAGTTTAATTAGAGCTAGACCTGCTCTTGTTTAGGTGTATTTGTCTCTGCAACCATTTTTTTTTAAAAGATTTATTTATTTATTTGAAAGAGAAAGAGAGAGAGAGAGAGAGAGAGAGAGAGAGAGAACCTGCAAGCAGAGCAGGGATGGGCAGAGGGAGAAGGAGAGAATCTCAAGCAGACTCCACACTGAGCTTGGGGCTCCACACAGAGCTCCATCTCAATCTCACGACTCTAAGATCATGACCCGGAAATCACAACTCTGAGATCACAACTGACCAAAATCAAGAGTCAGATGCTCAACTGACTGAGCCACCCGAATGCCCCTGTCTCTGCAACTTTTAATTCTAGGTACCCATTGCCTTCAATAAATATTTTTTTGTCAGAAGAAGACCCCTCCTTGTCTCGTTCCCCTTTCTATGGAAAGATAACAGAAAAGAATTAAATTAGTACTACAATCTACAGTTAAAGGTTTTTTTCTATGTATACATTTTGGTTCTAGAAGGAAATCTGACACAAGACAGTTTGACCTAGCAAATCCACATCAAGGAGTTTATTCCAAAGAGAGAACAAGGGATGCTCTTGAAGATGTATGTCTAGGATACTTGTAATTATTAAAAATGGAAATAATTTATATTTAGAAATAGAGGAATGGTGAAATAAATGTGTATAGCTCTGCAGTATAACGCACCCATTAAAAATACCAAAGTATTTTATGACATGGAAAATACCCATGATATGATGTTAAGGAATAAAACAAAAACCAAAAGCAGCTATCGAAACTGCTTTATTATGATTTAAAATTCATCTTTAAAGATGTGAGTAACTGTATGTGGCATAAATATCACAGATAGAAAAAGCCAGTATAGGGGCGCCTGGGTGGCTCAGTGGGTTAAAGCCTCTGCCTTCGGCTCAGGTCATGATCCCAGGGTCCTGGGCTTTCTGCTTGGCAGGGAGCCTGCCTCCCCCTTTCTCTGTGCCTGCCTCTCTGCCTACTTGTGATTTCTGTCTGTCAAATAAATAAATAAAATCTTAAAATAAATAAATAAATAGTAAGATTTAAAAAGAAAGAAAGAAAGAAAGAAAGAAAGAAAGAAAGAAAGAAAGAAAAGGCCAGTATAAGCTAGCTTTCCAGAATTTTAACTGGTTATTTGTCAGTAGTGGGACTGTAGATGCTTTTTATGTTTTCTTTACAACTTAATGTATTTTCCAAATGTTCTTCTGGGAAGATGTATTATTTTATTCATTCATTCACTTATTTAATAAATGTGTAGTGACTGTTAGGTGTCAGGCACTCTGCCTTGTGCTGAGGAGATAAAGTAAATAAGACAGAGCGGATATGTTCTTTACTTTGCTCAGAGTTTACAATTCCTTAAAATTGGGAGAAAAAAAGGTTTTTTCCTTAATTCATTTCATTTGACTCAGTAATTCCACTTTTGGGAATCTATCCTAAGGAAATAATCAAGATAGCAAAAAAAAATTATCATATAGAAATGTTTATTAGTGCATTAACCATAAGGCAAAAAAATTTAGAAACCACATAAATGCCCAACAGTTATTAATAGTAGTTAATAACACAGGAAAACATTATTCATGTTTTCCACTACTATCAACAGGAAAAAAGTACGCTGCAAAATTATACAGAATCTGACCTCAACTATGTAGTGTAATTAGTCATAAAAGAGAAATTCGGATGTTAACAAGTGTTATTTTTGCATCGTGAAGTCATGGTTGATTTGTACTTTTGTGCCTATATTCTTCATATTTCCCAAGTTTTTGCAATGAACAGGTTTAATATTATAATCGGGAAAATCATGCTGCTTTTGTTTTTAAAGACTTGACTCAGACATTATCTGTTAAAAATTCAAGGAGCAGGGCACCTGGGTGGCTCAGTGGGTTGGGCCTCTGCCTTTGACTCAGGTCATGATCTCAGAGTCCTGGGATCGAGTCCCACATCGGGCTCTGCTCTGCAGAGAGCCTGCTTCCTCCTCTCTCTCTGTGCCTGCCTCTCTGACTACTTGTGATCTCTCTGTCAAATAAATAAATAAATTCTCTAAAAAAAATATTCAAGGAGCATACAAAAAGACAATTTACCATTTCTTTAAAGTTTGCCCTGACTTGGTGAAAAAAAGAGAGAGAACTCATAAAGAGAGAGCCCACAGCCCCTTTCCTTTCTAAAACGTTCTTGGGAGAGAGTGGATGACCACAAATGCAGTAGAGCTACCCCCATCACAGGGACTGGGGAAATTAATTCACTGTGCTCATGAGGCTGAGCAAGGAAAAATAGAAGGAGCTCTTGAAGGACTTGGAGACAGAACCTTGGAGCCTAATCCCAAACTCTACCTTGAATCTAATCTTGAGCATGATATTGATAATCTCCCTGGGCTGTATCTGTATATTAGGAACCTGGGGACATTTCTCACTACTGTCACTTCCTCATTGAGCAGGTCAGGGTCAGGGTCCTGTTTTGTCTCTGGTTTGCCTAGAGAGAAAGAACAATGGTGCCTGAGATGTCAGGGTCAAGGCAGCCAAAATTTGGCTCCCTATCTAATCCAGTGTGAAGACTTTGACCCTGAATCCTGACTCTAGCCTTCTAAGTCCAAAGAGAAAACCCATGGCTGTGGAACATGGCAATTCTGTATAAGCTGAAGCAAGAGAGCTGGCTGCTGGTGCTCCATCAGCTACTGAATGCTCAGGTGTACACAGACTGACAGGTCTCCCTTGAACTCACACAAGGCCCAAGTGCATTTAAAATACCAACTTTCCCTCTAGTTTAAAGTTCATCAAGACTGAAATCACAGCAGGTTTCACTGCACCTGTATTCAGTCATATATCATGCTCTGGGTTTTCTAAATGTAAGGGTTTGCTGTGCAGTTAAAGGAGCAAGTCAGTACAGAAAGATTTATAGGCATACTTCACTTTCAACAAACTTAATATCTGAAAATTAAAGTACCATAAAAGATAAATTTACAAAAGAATTCATTTCATTATCACGTTGAGTAATTGGTTTATCTTCTACTTTTAAAATGTAAATTGGCTCACCACAAACTGTTTTACACACAACATATCAAGCACATAGAGTTGCGTAAAGTAGATGTCCATGGAACTTAGAAATCAGCATTTGGACACCACTCCAAAAGCTGGAAACAGTTCTCTGATTGACTACAGAAGCTGAAAATGACTTCAAATCAATTGCAAATGATAGATAATCTTTATGCCAAAAGAGTTTAGTAGTTTGGGATTTTTTTTTTTTTTTTGGAGGGGGGAAGATTTCTTCTAGGTCCTTCTTTGGTTTTCTCATAATTCATTGATTTCAGCAAGGCCACTGAAAGAACCCATTTCAGAATCACAGGGGCAGGTGTTTTCAACATCCCTCTATATCCCAGGTAAGCATTTAATACTTGTGCACACATACATATATACATTAGAGATCTATAGCACCCACAAAAATGTCAAAACAGATAAAGCTGTGCTCTAATAGTCAATTTTCCATCCTGCCACCTGAGGAGCCATTCATTCCAGAATGCTAGCCCCAGTATTTGAAAATGCCAACACTTTCATTTTCAATCAGCTTCAGAAAGCTTTAGTTAGTTGTAGGAAAGAAAGAGCTTTCAATTGCCTTTGCCAAGCATGTTTCTCTGTGGATACAGACAGGTTAAAAGCATTGACCTTACATGATAAGAGAAATTTAGAAAAGCTCCTGGGTAAGCTCCCTGGGTCCCTATCTGCGGAGTTCCTGAAGAATAGCCTAGCTGCCTCTCATTCCTGAATGAGAGCTCCTAGCAGCATAGACAGAGCCAAATTAGGATGCTGAGTATTTTATGATTCTAATGAAATGCTCTTCACATACAAATAATATTGGAGAGTTGAGGTGGGAGCAGAAAAATCTCTGGATGTCCAGGAAAAAGTGAAAAATGAGAAATTTTGCTTAGACATACTTAAAACTGGAAAGCACCAAGAGGCTTCCCAGCAAAATAATAGGCTTGCAAGGATTAATGAAGCCCCAGCCACGGGCTAGCCCCCTGGCCAACGCCTGGGGATCCCCTTCAGGCCTCCATGGTAAAGGAGAGGATGAATATATGGAAAGAAGCAAAGCAGGAGTGGAAAGGAAAAGTGTCAAAGAGATGAGTGCTGGAGGGGTGAAGAAAATAGGATTAAATGAAGGATAAAGGAGGTGTGTGAAGAAAGGGAGACTGGCAATGAGCAAAAAGGAGAAAGGGAAAAAGGAAATCAGTAAGGAAATGGTGAGATAAGATGAAGTCCCGCACGTACAAACGACTCAATTAGGTGTCAGGAAAACCCCAAGGTACAGGTGACCAATCACCACCTTGATCCAGGAACAGTGCAACCCAGAAGCTCCCAGCCATGCTATGGTCCTCTATGGACACTTTCTCCCTTCTCCACAAAGGGCAGGCTCACCTGTCGAAGGCCACAGCCGTCATGGAGTAGATGCTGGCGAAGACAGCAGCGATGGGGAAGAAGTTGTGGAACTTACAATAGAACAGGCCATAGTACCACTCGTTGTGGACAGCATAGGTGAAGTTCACCACTGTGTTGAACGCAGCCATGGATGCCTCTGCGAAAGCCAGATTCACCAGGAAATAGTTAGTCACTGTCCTCATTCTCTTGTGGGCCAGGATGATCCACATCACCACCACATTGCCCACGACAGAGGTCACCACGATGACCGTGTAGGCAGCTGCCCAAAGGACTATTTGCCAGGCCGGCTGCACGAACTGGTTGGGCTCCGAGGTGTTGGTGGAGATATTTGGGAAGAGGTCTGAGTCTACCTGGAGGACATTATCCATTCTTCCACTAAGTGGTTAAGCCGCCCCCGGAGTCGGGGTCCTGCTTAACCAAGCAGGAGGGCTACAGGCTCTTTCTGGGCAGAACTCTTTCCTTGAAAGCAGGAGAATTGGAGCTCAGAAGATAAATGCTTCTAGATGGGCTGTCTGCTTCTTGTGGCTCCGAATTCCTCCACTTTCAAGCGTCAGGAAGCATTTGAGTTCAGAAATCCGGAGACAGCGTCTCTACTGCGTGGGAATGGAAAAAGGAAAGGAATTCCACGGGTCACGGTTCCAAGAAGCAGGAGACCCCCGCCTATCTGCACCTGCTGCTGCTTGCAACTGCTGTTCCCGCTGCTTGCAGCGGGAAATGCAAAACCCTGCTCTGCAGGAGGACTTGGGGGCGAATGGGAGAGTGTTCGTCACAGCTCGACCTGTAAAAGTTCTGAGTCTATGGCGGGGATTCTGGGGCCCCTGGTCCGTCTGGTGGTTTTTTCCTTTGCTTTTGCTGCGCTGTCGCCGCTGCCGCCGTCGCCTGCTGCCGCCGTCGCCTGCAGCTTCGCAGGCGCCTCTCTGGCTCGGGTCCTGCTTGGCTCGGGAGTTAGCAGAACCTCGGCAGGCTGCGCGCGAGGCTTTTATAACCCTCTGCAGAGACGTCACCGCGAAGGGGCAGTACCTGGGCTGCGCCCCGCCAGTCCTGGTGCGCAGCGCCGCAGCTGAACCAGCTGTTGGCAACTGTCTCATTCCACCAACGCAGCCACCTCGCCTTTTGCGGCTACCTGCTGTGGGAGTCCTCAAGCCCCGCGCCCCACGCACTCCGCGAGGGGGCGCCAGGTAGCCTCGGAGTAATTGAGCCGGACAGCGTCTGCAGGCTGAATGAACCACGAACGGAAGAAATCCGCTAAAGAGCTGTACGGATGATAGACACACAACTTCCAGGGAGAGCAGCCCGGAGCGCTGCGACAGCTCTGCAGAGGCGCCTGCCTGTGGCTGTGGGAGTCGGGCAAATGTGGGGGCGACGTGCCAGCGCTGCGCTCCGGGCCTCTCTCCAGTCCGAGTGTACCACGGGCTCGCCCTGGCTGCTACCGAGAGGAGGTGACGATGCCCAGTTCCAGGTGTCCGGAAAACAACTTTGCCGAGATCGTGTTTAGGAAATATCCCCAAACACCCAGGTCCTTTCTCTGGGTTGACCGATTCCCCTGGGGAGGCAATGATAGACTCTAAGCTTTGGGGATACCTTCCCCAGGTTCCTCGGTGACTGAGCTCTACAGCTGAGCCCCTTGCGCAGACAGCCGGGACTGGGCTGGGCTCCCTAGGAAGCTTGGTGAGCGCAGCAGCCACCAATTGCGTCTGGGCGACACAATCAGCAGTGTGTCGCCCAGACGCGCCTCTCTGGGCCCTCTGCCAACACCCTCTGCGGCCTCAAGTTCACCGCCCGCGGACCTAGGAGCTTCTGCCTCTGCGCCTGGGGGGCCTGCGGGCTAGTGCCAGGCCGGGGGCGTGGGGGGTTCCTTCCCCTACTCTCTCGCGGGTTTGCATAGGGACTGGAGGGCAGTTTTGTCCCCCTTTTCTACCCACCCCCTCCCTGCCCCCGGCGGACTTCAAGGCCTTATCTGCAAGTCCAAGGCCATTTCAAACCGCGGAGCTGGTGTCGGACACTGGGAGGAGGTGGGAAATGTTCGTCGGTGGGTGCGAACCGTTTTGGCGAAGCCGAGATGGGCTCAAGTTTGGAGGCTTTCCCGCCCAGAGTGCCCAGGAGATACGGTTCGAACCTTCGGAGGCCATCTATTCCTCTGTCTCCCTCGCGCCCTCCCCTCTTTTCACTGCGGGAACTCAGAACTGTGCGACATGAATAGGGATGGTTACCACAGCCCAGCGATGAGGCTCGTTGTTGGCGCACGCCCGCCTTCTCCCGGGAGCTGCGTTTACGCACTAGTCCTGTCCGGTTACGCGCCTCTTAGGGGAGCAAGCAAAACATCTGGCAGGAAACGCTTTAAGATTTAGAAATTGATTGTACCGATTGATGCCAGGCTAAAATCTGCCGTTCATTTTGGTTTTGTTGAAGCCTGGAATTTCAGCATGTATATGAACCTCACCTTGCACTGCCTGGTACTCCAGGCACCCCTAAACCTGAAAAGAAAACTCCAGTGATGTCTGGGGGAGCACGCCCTTATTTAGACAGGTTGCAAAGAAGGAACCTTCCCGAAGGGAAGTCCTCTTCCACCCTGGATCTCTCATAATTGCTTCTAGTAGTGGGTATTAGAGGTCTTTTAAGCTTTTTCATTCTAAAATATGTAAAATGTTATAACATTGCTAATACATAGTGTTTATTTTCCTATTAGAAAATTTGAATTTCTAAGATTTTTTTTTTTTTGGCTGTGTGGATTTTCCTTTCTATAAATTGTTTATTCACATGTCTTATCCCTTTTTCTGTTAGACTGCTTTCCAGTCACTTTTTTCTCAGAGCTCTTTGTATATTATAGATATAAACACTGACTATTATTAATATTTCAAGTATTTCTCGAATGCTATTATTTATCTCTTGAATTTATGTATTTGTCATAAAAACTTAAACAATTCTTATGTAGTCTGTATTTACTTTAATAGCACTTGGGTTTTCAAGTCTTGGTTTTAAAAAAGTCTTACAAAATCCTGGCTTTTTTTCCATATAAATATCATGGGTTTTCTTGGCAGTTCTTTCTTTTCTTCTTTCCTATCTTTTTCCTTCCTGCCTTCCTTCTTTCCTCTTCTTTCTCCTTTTCTTTCTTTCTTTCTTTCTTTCTTTCTTTCTTTCTTTCTTTCTTTTTCTTTTTTTCCTTCCATCCATCCATCCATCCATCCAACCATCCATCCGTCCTACCTTCCTTCTTTTCTTTCCAATAAGGTCTTTAGTTCACCTGCAGTTTGTTATTGTGTATTATACAAATTATTTTTCATATTAATTAAGCCATTATCCATGTCATAGATTAAATTTACAAATAAATGTGATTTAATAGTTATATTCTCCAGTCTTTCCTACTGATCCATTTGTCTATTCCTACAGCAATACCAGGTGTATGTGTGTATATATATATATATTTGATTAATATCATCTTCTACTTTGCCTAGCCTCCTTGCAATTAGGAAGAGCCTTGTGACTAATTTAGCCAATAGGTTGTGAGTGGAAATGATGTGTGTCACTACTAGGCTGAAGCATAGAAGAGTGTGTGTGTGTATGAGAGAGAAAGAGAGAGAGAGAGAGAGACACTTCTCCATGGATTCTCTCCACCAAGTCCCAAATGATGCAGCCACAAGAAGACAGGCCTTAATTACCTTGAGTTCCCAAGTGACTATATAATCCAGGTTGCTGCCCATTTTGGACATGTAGTATGAGTAGGAAATAAATTTTTGTTGTATTAAGGCACTAGGTTTTGGGATTAATTTGTTACTCATCATGGTATAGCTTATCCTGACTAATACAGGAATAAATATTCCAATATCTGGTAAGGCAAGTTCATCTGTATGCTCATTTCATGCTTTTTAAAATCCATTTTTAGACATCACATTTAAATTTTAAATTCAATTTAAAAATTAAACAAAACAAACTGCAGTAGTATTTTAATTAGAACTGTGTGGAACTTACTGAATTTTGACAAAATTGACATTTTGGATATATATTTTTAATCCAAGAACATGGTATGCCTTTCCATTTATTCAAGTCTATTTATACCTCTCAAAAAGATTATAATTTTGGTTAAAATAGATGCAATCTTTTGGTTACATAATTTCCATATATTTTGTAGGTTTTGTTTCTATTTTAAATGAAATATTTTTTTTAAATCTTAGATCAAAGAAAACCCATTGTCTTCTGTGTATATGTATTTGTGTTTATGTGTATGAGTGTGTTTCTTTGTATGTATCCTGGTCATTTTACTGAATTTTGTATTTATTCTGCTTTTTATTTGCTTTTCTTTGCATTTTCAATCGCATCATTAGCATATTCTTGTCTCACTGAATTTCCTTTACGTTCTAGGACAATGTTTAATTAAAATTGGTGATAACAGGTATTTCTGTAGTTTCTGAATTTAAATTAAGATGACTTTGAATTTTTACTATTTAGGAGAATATTTGTTGTTAAATTTGCTAAATAGGCTTTTATGTTTAAATAGTTTCCTTCTACTTTATTTTACCTAAAGAATTTTAAATGAATGTCTTATAAATTTCTTTTACTTTTAAATGCCTTTTTCAGGATCTGTTGATATGATTGTGTAATTTTTTTCACTAATTTGTTGACATAATGGATTAAATGAATAGATTTCCCAACACTAGACCCAACCTAGCATTCCTGGCACAATATCTGCTTGGGCAAAGGCTATATTATTTCTTTGATATATTGCTGGATTCAACTTGCTAATGATTTATTTAACATTTTTACATCTATTTTTCTAAGTGAAACTGATGTAGAGATTTTTTTCCTTTTCTTTTTCATATATTAGTATTACGCACCAAAAAATGAAATGAGAAGCATCTCATCTCTAACTATGGCAAGAAATACTAGTCTTGGTCCCTGAACTACCCAAGAACTAGTGGGAAATGTAAGTCCCTGGGCCATCACAGTACTACTAAATTAGAATCTGCATTTTAGTAGGACCTTAGGTTATTTGTATGCACATTAAAGTTTGAAGGTTTTTTTTTTTTAAGATTTTTATTTACTTATTTGACAAAGAGAGAGAGAGAGAGAGAGAGAGACAGTGAGAGAGGGAATACAAGCAGGGGAAATGAGAGAGGGAGAAGCAGGCTTCTCATTGAACAGGGAGCCTGTCGCAGGGCTTGATCCAAGGACCCTGGGATCATGACCTGAGCTGAAGGCAGATGCTTAATGACTGAGCCACCCAGGCACCCTGTAAAGTTTGAGGAGTTTAAAATAGGTCCAGTGTTTTCCAAGTTTCTTAATGATAAGAAACTCTTGTGTTGGTTGTTAATAAACATTATCCGGTTCCAAGGAAAACTCTGATTTGGTGAATCTGGATTGGGGTTCAGTGGTCTGTGTTTTTACCAAGTACACTGGGTCAGTTTTCTCTTCAAGCAAGTTTTGGAAATATGTGGACCTTTTACTTTAAACAGCACAAAACTAGATGACTTCTTTCTTCATCTCAAGGAAATTTTCAGCTAGTATTTTTTTTTTTTTGAAATTATTACGTCTTCTCTATTAGCCCTATCTTCTCCTTTTGACTCTCATTGTTGTCATGGTAGGTTTTCTAGAACCATCCTCTGGATGTTTACAAACGATTCCTGCTCTCATTCTCAGATCTCAGTATCCAGGCTCTTCTATTTTGGTACTTTCTCCAAGTTCTGTTGATCTCCCAGCACAGCCCAGCCTGCCTGGTTCTACTCTTTTCTCAGCTCAACTCCCAACAGAGCCCCAGGGCTCATTTATATCCAGCTGCCCTTGAGGCCTGAAGCCATGTGGCTGATAGCAGAGAACACTGGAATTGCTGGGAAAAGGAATGCAGCTGTGTTCATGTCCCCATAAACTC